CCAGTAGCTATACCTTAAAAAAAAAAAAAAAAAAAAAAAAGCACAATGATCAACTTCACAACAGGGATTTGTTCCATCTTGGACAGGAGACACCCTGGCTGATTTAAAGGGAACATTTGTGCAGGCTTAAAGAAGTCAGAGGAGTTTTTTTATTATTATTATTTAACAAAAAAAAGGGATTTGTTCCATCTTGGACAGGAGACACCCTGGCTGATTTAAAGGGAACATTTGTGCAGGCTTAAAGAAGTCAGAGGAGTTTTTTTTTTAAATTATTTAACAAAAAAAGGGGGGGGGGGGGGGGCGATGAATTAAGAGAGAAGGACAAACCTGAATGCTCTAATTATGGCCTTTATGTGGCTGTAGACCTATTACACTAATAAGGCCGATGTGGAAGAAAAGGGGCCCCTTTTATTTGCCATCAAATTACAACAATTTGCCCTAATAGGAAGAAAAAAAAAATCTCATCCTAAAAATAAGAGCGTCTCTGTAGCAACCACCCCCCCCCCCTCCCCTCCAATCAGTCCATCCAAACAGCTGCAATTAGCAGAAGCTACAGTACAAGATGGAAGCACCTAGATACTAAAATAAATCACAGACCTCCACTTATAAAAACTTTGAACCAAAGTGGAAAAAAAATCTTTTAAAACAAAAATTGCAAATGAGTTAATTTTAAGTGCATTTTTATTTTATTTTCATATTCATCTCTGCCCAGATCCCGCTCTGTTTGCACCTCATTCTCCCCATTCAGCCATTTTACATATTCATAACTGGAGTTGGTAATGCGAAAACAATCCGCGCTATATCAGCACCATCTGAGAGACAGAGAGCTCTGCTGCAAATAAAATAAAATAAAATGAAAACTAAATATATACTAAATAAATGCAATGCATTCTGCTCAATCCGCTGCAACAGTTTCATACAATTTGATTTTAATGAGCAAGAACAATCAGATCTCTGGATTTTTTTTTTTCTGTCGAAGCTCGATGATAATGCAGAATTAAAAAAATGTTTTATGAACCACAGCTTCATCATGCAACTTTTCATTCACCTTAAATAGCAATAAGTTAATGTGTGATATTTTCTCAAATATGATTTTCTTACCTTCTTGGAGAGAGTACAACAGGAGTAAAGTTACAAGCCACATGCCATAAAGAGCAGGTATATTTTTCAGGAATTGTTGGTAATCCTGGTTAGTGTGAGGCGCGTTCCTTTGGCCAGGCGGCTCTCCGTGCTGGACTGAGCTCCCGGGAGGTGTTTCCAGCCCTGCTGCCCCGCTAAGCGTGGAGGGGAAACGAGAAGCGCCTCAGCCCCGCCCATGTCCCCTCCTCTCCTCATCACAGCATCCTTCATGCAAATCCATTTTTTTATTCATTTAACTTAAATCAAACGCAGATCGAATTCTTCTGCAGTTGGTCAGTTTTGTTTGTTTATTACTTTTTTATTTTTTGTCCACTCTTGTGCAAGATGGTTTGGCACCGTTTGGAGAGAGCAGCCACCTGTGCGCCCAGATGACCGCGCTTCTCTTCCTGCGCAATGGATGCGGAAAAGTGACCCACAGCCCAGGCTGGACTGGAACCCGCTCATCTGAGTTGGTGCTAGATTATCAGCTGCAGAACAGGGCGGGCTGAAAAAAAAGAAATTTTTTTTCCCTTTTCTTTGTCTGCATCCGGAGCGCAAAGAAATGCAATGCGGATGGAGAGAGGAGCGGAGCGGGGTGTGGAGCCACCACAAAGCGCGGACAGTGTGCCAAACTAACCAAGGGTTACAGGGACTTCCTAAAACCCACAGAGGTTTCTGGGCAGCTGGTTTCACTTTTACCTGCAGGGAATCAGCTCCACTTCATAAGCATTAAGGATAGAGGAAAGGATGAAATAGCTGCATCCTCTCAGGGATATTTCAAATAATAGGGAAATACATTAGAAATTAAATTGCAAAAAAAAAAAAAAAACAATTTTTAAAAAGAACCAAAAAACCAAAAGGAAAAAAAAAAAAACAAAAGAAGGAAAAGATGGCAAAGAAAAAAATAAAAACATAGAAAAATAAATGGGGTATCTCTCAAATCTGAAATAAATATATAAAATGTTCCGATCCTATACTGGAGGTTTCTTCCTGTTAAGAGGGGGTTTTTCCTTTCCACTGTCACTACAAGCATGCTTAGTGTGAGGGATTGCGTTCAAGTCAATGTGTCAATGTAATCAACTGGTTTTCCTTAGATAGAAAACCTTTAATCAGTTTGACTGCATGATCTGGTGAACTGTAAAGTGCCTTGAGATGATAAACACTTATAAATAAACTGGATTGAACTTAGTTGATCATTTTGTGGCTTAAACCGCTTTTTTCGGGGAATATGAAAAGACACCTGAATCATTATTCATCACCAGAATCTGTCCGGTGAAAGTTCAAACAAATTCATGTTGTTGCGGTGAGTTTAATGTCAGAAACAGCGAAATATAACAGAGATTAAAAGAGACCCAGTCACACCGCCAACATGTTATTCTAATAGTTTTATTCCCTGTTCTCTCTGGGATCTTTTCTTTTTTTTTTAAAGTTTTCTCGCTCTCTGGAGCTGCTTCTACGATCCTTACTGCAGCTCGATGCTGCCATCTGCTGGTCAATCTATCAACAGACATGCAAACATTTTACAGCAGCTCATGCTGTTTATGTGGTTTATCTGATTTTCTAAAACATAATTCAAATAATAAATACGCCATTAAATTTTAAAATCAACCAATAAATTATTAAAAATACAATTATAATGATGAATAAAATCAGTAAATGCCATGTTTCAATTATTAAATTTCTTAATAATGTAAAACAATTGCTTTATTTTATGAATAAAAAAAGTGAAGCAACTTTAATACAAATAAAAGTAAAAATATATTTTTTAAGATGTATTTTTGGGGGGTCTCCAGAGTGTTAAAGTAACACTTTGAGAGTTCATTTGGTCCCACACTAATTCAGAATGGGACCTAATGAACTCTTGAGTGTTGCTTCAACACTGCAACATTTACTGTGTACTGCTATATTTTGGGTTCACATGCAGAAATGTTTTGAAACTCCAGCAGTAATATTTTGCACAGAAAGCAAAAAAAAATTTACCTCATGTTTTACATATCAGAATAAAACTAAACTCTCTACATGTAAATATAAATACAGCTGAAGATCACAGAAAAGTTGAGTTGACAGTAACTGAAAACATGTAAACATCATACTTCCCTGTCTTTAGGAATAATCGCCTTAATGTGGATGGAGAGCGATAAGGAAAGTCCTCCAGCAGCTATGCTGAGGTGACCAATCCAACTTCTGTTCATCAATGAGGATGCTGTTTTCCACAGATTTCTACATGGTTTAGGTCAAGCACAGTGATACCGTGGGGGTGAACCTTGTATCTGCACCTTCAGTGACAACAGTCAGAGGTAACTCAGTGCTTTTTGTGGCATATTAACTTTATGTTAGTATTAATTGTTCTGAGGACAATTTATTTTTACTCCCTACTTTTTAACTTAAATATCTGCACTTTCAATAAAGTGGTTCATCGCTCAATTCAAGGAGAGGCTCTGCCCAGCTGGAGAAGAGTTAGTTTATGAAAAACACTGTTAGAGAAGGAGTGGATGAAGACAGGAGAATCATTTCAGATGATAGATCAGACAGTGAGAAGCAGGCCCCAAATTCCCCTTTATTTACATGTGGATTTTGTTTCAAGTTACATTTCATTTTTAATGCAGCTTTGATATTATAATGTCCAAGCTCTAAAAGCACTCAGCTGCTCATGCAGGACTTCTGTTCAGTTTAATCCATATTATTATTCTGTCTGAAGCTACAATCAAGAATCAAACCTGACCAAGTCAGTATTCTGTATTTTCTGCAAAAAATAGTTATTTAAGGAGAGTTTTTTAAGTTCCTTTGTATAACTTAAGTATTTTGTATAACTTAATTTTACTTTATTACTTGACTTCAAAGTAAAATCTGTACTTTTTTTTTTTAAATTAGAGACATTATAAAGTTTTCCTATACTGCCACCTGTGGGGGAAAGCAGAGCTAGAGCTTGCTCTCGTAGCTCGAACTCACATTTTAATATGATTTTTCTCCTTGGAGTTGCCATTGGTGCCTGAGTTTAGCTGGGTGCTGGTTGGGCACTTCTGCCCAACAAAATTCGCCTTGAATATAACGTTTCTATTTTCTGCTCGGTCGGACCCATTCAACATGGACCTGCTTGACGATCATCGTGGGAACTTCACACCTGAAGTAAATTAAGGACAATAGGCCTTATAGATGCATCGGTGCTTAACCACTGAGGTGTCACTCACTGGACACCCAATGACCAATGGAGATACACTGGCCTGATGGCCCAAAACAACAACCAGGTAGAGAAGAGGAGGGTGTTTGCATCCTGGAGATATTGCAGTGGTTGCTGGTTTGAAGCTCAGACTGCCCCTTGTAGTTAGATTGGCTCAGGTTATCCTGAACTGTCTCTATGCTGCTATAGGCTTAGACTGCTGGAGGACATAGGGACCCCTTTTCATCATTCTGCTTCATTATATCTCTATTCTCCCATTCTGCAGTATCTGTTAGTTCATTCTTTAACATTATGCTCTCTCTGCTTTTTCTAATAGCTTCATCTGGTCAGTTCCTGTTTGGTTGTGACTCCATCTTGGATATAAATATCAGCTGTACTGATGCCATCAACACCTTTGTTTATAGATGTTGAAGCTTTGGCTGTTTCTCAGGGCTAGTCCTGTTTCTCTCTTAGACATAGCTATGGGCTTAGCTTCTATACTGTAACTAAGTAGGTGTTCTTTCTTCACCCAGCTGGCATGAAAACTGGCTCAGATCTTAACTCTTTCTTTTCCAGTCAGAGCCACCTATAAGGCTTGTGTACCATTACCTTTTCTAAATTAGAAAGAATTTATAGATCAGTGCTTTATGTTTCTTTTGCATGTCAGCTTCTTTCTTGAACCCCAATTCTGCATCAATAGCAGGCCGCCCAGCAGCTTTGTTCCACTGCAGGTTTCTTTCTGCTAAAATTTAGTTTTTCCTCTTTACTCTCACTGTATCCATGCATGGTTTGATGTACTGCTCAAGAGTCAATGACCAAATGCAAGGGAATCTCTACATGCTCATCTAGGAGAAGTGAATCAGGCCAATTCAATGACTGGATGCAATCAGCTGGTTTTCTTTAGATAGAAACCTGTTAACCAATCTAAGCAACAGCTTGCAATGTTTAAACATTGCAAGCTGTTGCATTCAGGTGCATAGCCAGTCTAATTGACATCCCAGGTATGGAGGGAAGCTGTGCCATCAATAGCACCTATGCTCCAATATTCAGACCAGAACCACACAGATGATATTTAAATCTTTATTAGTTTAGAGCAAAGATCTGATATGCATGGAGGAGATACATTGTTTAAGTGCAAACCAGAGCATTACAGCTGTTCAGAGATCAGCGGGGGAGTAGAAACTGAGTCCACAGGCTTTTCTGGTTCTGATCCGATTTAGGGGCTCCAGATCCAACCTGCTTGGCATCACCACTCACAGATCCATGGGAACAACTGCTGCACCACTTACAAAGCTGTCACAGCACATCATTGATCCTGCTGTCATTTGCATAGTTAAAACTGGACACAGTTAAAATTGGAGAAGAGATTAGACTCTGAAATTGTTTTCTCTGTAGGGAATTCATATTTGAAAGCCTTTATTGAAAACTGAACAGATTTATGAAATCTTACAACATAGGTCATTAGTCTTCCTACAGGTGAAACACTATAAATAAATAGTAAAAGCAAAAAATAAAATAAAAAAAACACAGAAATTTATATCAAAGTAAGGCAGTTATTGTTCAAATAAGAACAAATGAATAGATGAATAATTCTATTTCGGAGAGAACAACATAATAAAATGTAAATATTGTAATTAAGGACATTTGTAATTATTATATTATTTCATTCCTATGTCTGATAAATATATATTTTTTCTGCTTCTGCAGGTAATTTAGACAATTTCCCAAAGAAATAAGATGATTAAAGTTTAAAATAAGAGTATTTACATTATCTTATATAAAGAGCATCTCATTTAATTATCTTATTTTAATGGAAAAATACTGATTTCATGGCAGATCATCTTTTTTTCCTTCTCTAATAAAAGGCAAATACACTTTTTTTAATCGATCTTAACTTTTTATGGTTTAAACAATTCAACTACAAGATGGCTGCATTGAAGGCATGCAGAGGCTGTTTATCTGTGGCTCAGTTAGGCAGTAACCCAGACGGCTCTTCAAACACGTACAATATATAGGCTCCTTAAACATTTTCTCTATTACTTTTAAAGTGTGCAATTCAAAAACTTAAACTAAA